AACACCTCAGCAGTGCCACAGGCTGATTGCCTCCATGCCACGCCGCACTGAAGCAGTCATTCATGCAAAAGGATTCCCGACCAAGTATTGAGTGCATAACTGAACACGATTATTTGAAGGTTGCTGTTTTTTGTAATAAAAACACTTGTCTTTCATTGGAGGGATGAAATATGCAAATTTTTTGGGACAGGCATTTTGGGTTTTCATGAGCTGTTTGCCATAATCATCAGTATTAAAACAATTAAAGACCTGAAATATTTCAGTTGGTGTGCAATGAATCTGAAATATATGAAAGTTTAATTTTTATCATTACATTATGGAAAATAATGACCTTTATCACAATATGCTAATTTTTTGAGAAGGACCTGTAAGTGGTGAAAGTGACAACACAGGGTTTGGAGGCAAAAAAAAAATCCTAACATGCTCTTAATCTTTTGCTGAAGATTAAAAGCATGAAAAAAACAACAACTTTGAACATGAAAAAAAAACCAACAACTTTGCACACGAGCACATAATGACGCCGACATTCCGGGGGGGGGGGGGGGGGACGCAAGGGCGGTGAGCATGTCCAGAGACAACACACAGAGGCACTGCAGAATTCAGATAAGAGTGGTAAATTGCTCAGTTCACATAGTTCCCTCTGGAGAGATCCGTACACTCTCAGGGGGTGCCGAGGACGACCGAGGACGACCGAGGACGACCAAGGATGACGTCAGATAGAATCCAAAAAGTCCTGAAATGATGACAGAATGTTTATTCAACCGGGCCCCTCTGATTGGTCCTTAAGACTTCCTCGGTGGAGGGAGGGGCAGAACAGCAAGGCTTCCAGAGCTTCCAGGTGAATTAAGATAAGATGGCCTGTCAAGGCCAGTCAGGGAGCCAAATTTAGATAAACACGATTGTTTTAGGGACAAGCAGAACTTTAATGACATCTACCTTGAGTCTGTGTCGGTCCACTCAGTTCCGAAATGTCCAAATTACATGACCAATTCAATTCAGTTTATTTATACAGCGCAAAATCACAACAAAGTTGTCTCAGGGCACTTTACAGAAACATTCACATACATAAAAGCCAATTAGTAAAGTTCTCTATCTAAGGAATCCAGCAGACAAGATGAATATTGGCTTTGTTGCAGTCTCCCATCCTGAGCAAGCACAGTGGCAACAGTGGAAAGGAAAAACTCCCTTTTAAAAGGAAGAAACCTCCAGCAGAACCAGGCTCAGGACAAGCGGCCATCTGCTTTGACCGGCTGGTTTGAGAGGACAGGAAGGAGAGACAGACGAACACAGAATGGTAGGTCCAGGTATAGGTCCAGGTGTATCGGAAAGACAAAAAGACACATGTTAAGGATAGAAAAAATAATTACAAATACAAAACAGGTTGAGCAGAGTAAAGACAGTAGCAGAGTGAAAATTGTGGTCAGTTTGTCCTCCAGCAGTTTAAGCCTATAGCAGCATAACTAAGGGACAGCTCAGGAAACCCAAGCCGACCCTAACTATAGGATTTAGCAAAAAGGAAAGTCTTAAGCCTAGTTTTAAAACTGGATAATGTGTCAGCCTCACGGACAGAGATTGGAAGTTGGTTCCACAAGAGAGGAGCCTGATAACTGAAAGATCTGCCTCCCATTCTGTTTTTGTAAATTCTAGGAACCACAAGTAAACCTGCAGTCTGAGAGCGAAGTGTTCTGTTAGGAAATATGGAACAATAAGATCTGTAATATTAGATGGAGCTAGGTTGTTGAGAGCTTTATAGGTTAGAAGTAAGATTTTGAATTCTATTTTGGATTTGACAGGGAGCCAATGGAAAGAAGCTAAAACTGGAGAAATATAATCTCTCCTACTAACTCCAGTTAAGACTCTGGCAGCAGCATTGGATCAACTGAAGACGTTTTAAAGAAGTATTTGGACATCCAGATAATAAACCATTGCAATAGTCCAGTCTAGACGTGACAAATGCATGGACCAGTTTTTCTGCATCATTTTTAGATAAAATGTTTCTAATTTTAGCAATATTACGCAGGTGGAAGAAAGCAGTTCTAGTAAAATTTTTAATGTGGGGGATAAAAGACATGTCCTGATCAAAAATAACACCAAGATTTTTAACATTAGAGCTGGAGGACAGATTAATGCCATCTAAGGAGGGAGAAAGACTGAAAAAATCATTCCTAAGGTGCTCAGGTCCAAAAACCAAAACCTCAAACCTTTGTTTGTGTTCAACAGGAGAAAATTAAGAGTCATCCAGGTTTTTATGTCTTTAAGCCATGCTTGTAGTCTAAGTAGCTGATTGGATTTATTGGGTTTAATAGACAAATATAATTGTGTGTCATCAGCATAACAATGGAAATGTATCCCATGCTGTTTAATAACTTTACCTAATGGAAGCATATATAAAGTAAAGAGTATTGGCCCAAGCACTGAGCCCTGAGGAACTCCATGACTAACTTTGGTGTATGAAGAAGATTTATTATTTACATTTACAAACTGGAATCTATCAGATAGATATGATTTAAACCATTTTAGAGCTGTTCCTGTAATCCCAATATCATATTCAAGCCTCTGTAGTAAAATATTTTGATCAACTGTATCAAATGCAGCACTGAGGTCTAACAGGACCAGTATAGACACAAGTCCATTGTCTGAGGCCATGAGAATATCATTAGTGACTTTTACTAGTGCTGTTTCTGTGCTATCATAAGCTTTAAACCCTGACTGAAACTCTTCAAACAGATTATTTCTTTGTAGATGTTCACGCAACTGACCTGCAACTATTTTCTCTAGAATTTTTTAGATGAAAGTTAGATTAGATATAGGTCTATAGTTGGCCAGAATTTCTGAATCAAGATCAGACTTAAGTAAAGGTTTAATTACAGCAACCTTAAAGCTCTGTGGAACATAACCATCCATTAAAGACAAATTAAGTAGATCCAAAATGTGGACATTAATTAGGGGAAATACCTCTTTAAACAGTGTGGTTGATATGGGATCTAGCAGGCATGTGGATGGTTTGGATGAGGTTATTATTTTTGACAATTCAGAGAGCTCAACAGGACAAAAACTGTACAAACATAAATCAGGCTCTAGTGAAACTTTTAAAGTTGCCTCATTTGACAGGGGACTAGAGATAGTAGAAGGATGGATGGTTTGAATTTGAACCACACCAATGGAACATGCCTGAGAGTAATCCTCGACATCTGATCCATCCTGCCAAAAGCATTTGAGTCTGGGTGCTCGAGGCACAAACCAAGCCATCATGAGGCAAGCAGCCTGATCGGGTCCAAATTTGTTGTTGACGACTTCCTTGTTTATTGACAGACCAGGAACCAGCCGTATCCAAAAAAGCAGGAACCAATTATCATAAATCCAATTATATATGCGTCCTTAAAATCCACAGATGACAGTAGAGATAGACACACCATCAAGTCTTCAAAGTTAATGAGATATCCAACTGCGTGCGTGCCAACAGGGCAAATTGGCTCACCTAAAGCCTGTCTTCTCTTCAAAGAAATGTTTTCAATTGTGTTGAGGGACCAACTGACCAAATCCATAGCAGAATTATGATTCAGAAGATTTGTAGAAGAGAGGCTCTAAAGCAGTTTCACAGACAAACAGAGAGGCAAAGCAAAGCGGAGCAGGAGAGGAGGGGAAATGCATCCACCCTTGACAAGAGCAAGTGTTGAAGTGCTTCTTCCTTTTCAGGTCGGGATGGAAGACGGCAGTTAAGAGATGAATCTTCACTTTGTCACAATTTCCTATCCTGAGCAAGCACATGGGTGACAATGAAAAGGAAAAACTCCCTCTTAACAGAGAGAAACCTCCAGCAGAACCAGAACCAGGCAAAGGATGGAGCCATCTGCCTTGACTGGCTAGGGTTAGAGAAGACAGTAAAGAGACAAACACAACTCTCCACTACCACCATAACAAAATTAGTGTAAACCTGTTAAATTGGCTGAACTATAGCCATGTATGGCTTGGCTAAGGTCAACTAGCAATAGTGGCCATCTTGTGTTGGGTTAACTTTAAAAGGAAATCAATTGTAGGTGTACATACATACAAGCAGGGGCTTATAACATATTTTGCTAATGCTATAGCCAAAGACACACATGCACATGCACACAAGCAAAAAACATTATCAAATGGACAATAACAAATGTGTACTAATATGAAATAACAAGCCTCTTGATGAGGTTCAGGTCTGTTGGATCTCCTACCTTGTGGTGCGGAGTTAAAGCTTTGGACCAGCTTGGGTGAGTATTCACTAAAGAAGCGTTGACGGAACATGATGCGTACGTCTGCGTGGCAGCTGCGGTTCAGGATGTCCTCAGTGTCGCTCATCAGCAGAGAGAAGCTGTCTGCTGCCATCGGACCCAGATCAGCATCATCAAGCAAAGAGAAGAGCTACATAGAGCGGGTTGAAGGTACATTTAAACCTGGGTTTGTAATAATGGTTGCCCTTGATGTGACAGAATAGTAAAAATAATTTTAGATCAGTGTTTTTACTTTGTCAGTCAGTGCTGAGAACAGAGGGTGGTACCGCAGGAGCAGAGCCTTGGCCACCTGCACACAACAAGTAAATAACATGTAAACATGCTGCCTTTTACAGAGCATGTGCAGCTGTTAGGACTGCTCAAATGATGAGGGCAAACAGACCATTTATAGCACAACTGCTGCCTGGTAGATACAGTAGACATAATACATAAACTATTTATTGCTCACTGCAGAAAGAATAAGGTGGACAATAATGTTTTACTAGTGTGATTTTGTCTGACAACAAATTCCTTCATGAACTACTCACTGGGTTTTAATTAAACTGTTAGTATTTATCACTGAATGAACATCAACAACTGATTAACTGCAGTCAATACGATCCAAGATGGGTGATGGCCATCTGACTTACAAAAAGTGCTAAATTGACCCTAACTGAACCAGTTTCACAAATACTGACCTGAACTTTTGTGTGGTGGTAACTAAGACTGTTCTATGTCGTATAGGCTTCGCCCTTTAAGGCTGTCGCTGATGGGTTTATCCCGTTATGCGCAGCATAAGCACTGAAAAAATTTAGTCCACGTCCACAACGGAAAATTGTGTAGATGACCAACCTTTGTTAAGGATGCTTGGCCCAGCAGTCGACCTCCGGTCGTCCGGTGAGTTCTCCTCCCCGAGGAGAAGATGACGAGCAGTCCTATTCCAAGGTAAGCGCCGAGGAATATTTCCCAGTGACAGGTCACTACACGCTGGACAACGCCATCTTGTATTTTTTCCTCTTATCGCCGACCCTCGGAGCGAATCGAATGGTTCCTCCGGGACAGGCGTGCTCAGCTGCAGCCCCCGCTGCTCATTCCCTCCTGGGGAGCGTAGTGTCGGTGGAAGGGGGCTGAGTGAATGCTCACCCCATCCCACCTCGTTTTCGCATCGGTGATCACACCGCTCCCGGCCGACGGCACCCTCAGGGGTTGCCCGGCGTAACCCAGGAGGAGGCTGACATGAAAGGACCCTTTTTTACGTCCTACGCCTTTCCCGCCAGTTCGGATGATCCGGCGGGAAGGTTGTTTACTGGGCTCCATTCCGGCTCACCGTCTTGACCCATATGGCCTCGTGCTCCCAACAGGATGTCCTACGGGCGAGGCCACAGAAGGGTTCTTTCCTGGTAGATTGGGGGAGTCGGTCCCCAGTCCGCAACCATCACCAGAGTGGAGGGGTTCACCGAGCGGGGCTATCCCTCGGTAACCCCCCTGGAGCCAAGCCTCGCGGAAGCTTCGGAGCGAAGCTGTCCAGGTCGGAGCAGCATCCAGTCCCTCCGGAGAAACACGAACCAGACGGTGACCACGCTCTCCAATCGAGCCCATCAATGTGCTTTCAGGCAGCCGCAGCTAGCAACAACTGTGTGCCTCTTCTACGGTTTGCCTGTCGAGGATTGCAGCATGGATGACGATGATCCAACGATCCACCTGGTTTCATTACTCTCCCTCGCTGCCGGAGAAACTGCACAAAGACCTGATGGAGGGCCCATCACGGCGGACGCGCTGTTCAAGAGCAGCTTCAAAACCATGCTAGCGAATTGAAGCAGTCGGAGGAGGCGCCAGAGGCTGTGCGCCACCTCATCAAGCCGCGCGGCTCATCCCGCCCCCCGGCCCGCTGGAGGGACCGTCGCTAGCAAAGCATCGACGTTTCCACGGCCGCGGCTCTCGCTCAGTTCCACCACCAGCCCCGCCCGTCAGAATCCAGCCCTCTTCATTCCGGCAACCTGCAGTTCAGCGTTTCCCCAGAGTTCGCCTGCAAGACAGCGCTCTGGGCAAACAAATCGCAGAGCTCAAGAGGGAGAAGTTTTAAAAAAATGACGGGCTGCGGAGGGTGTGCGTAAAAGTGACACGAAAATTGAAATTCATTCAATGATCAAAGTGTCTGTTTTTAGCCAGTCTGTAAGCTCGGATGAACTCACAGCGGCTGCGCACACATCCTTCACACATAACGAGCCGGTATCCTTAAATAAAGGTTTTTTAAATTCACCGTCGCTCCAAGACATGAAGAGTCGATCACACGACACAATGGTAAGCGAAAATAACTCATTATCATCCCGAGCGGCACGATCCTCACCCAAGCGGTGTCAAACTCGCACTCATGGGATGAAACAGCCTCCATCCAACGGCGCTGCGTTGGTGTTGGCGCACACACACACAGCTGCCCGGTGCTCACCGGCTTACATCGGTATAAATGTGGACCGCAGGCTGGGTCAGGTGGAGGTCCTCGCTCTCACAAGAGCGACACTCGCCTCACCGAATCAAACGCGGGCAGCCGTCACCCACCGCGTCTCAGCGTTCGGCAGCTCACGGTAGCATAAGCGTGAGGCAGCTGAACGAACCCAGTGACGAGTCCCGCCTCCCTCCAGCGCGAGCGCGCCCCTCCAGCGAAAGCGGCGCGCGTCCCTCCAGAGAAAACGTGTGCTCCCGCGGGGCTCGCAGCCTTCACTCCAACAGCACGGCGTAGATGAAGTCACGCCCTCCGCCTCTCAACGTTCGCACAGCGACGTCAAACGCGCAGCCCCACGGCGTCATCAGCTGTCACACGCTTCGCCTCAGCACAACGGCCCACCTGCACATGAAGGTTGGTCCGCGGTCTGAACGCAGCGCACGGGCGCGTTCAGAGCCTTTTTTCGAGGAAGCCTCGCCTTGGGTCACGCAGAAAACATTCCCGCGACGCATGACGGCGGTTGAGGGGCGGACTGCTGACAGCCGTACAAAACGTGACGCATCACTTAAACGCACGTTCACTCCACGAACGTTACGTAGAGTGGCTAAAACATGCTCGCCGTTCAGATGGATGGACAGGGTGTTATGCAAATGGTTACAAGTTACAGTTTGCAACCCGACCCCCTCCGTTCGGAGGAGTTATAGAAACGGTCCTGTCATCTTCAGACCAAATCTCATCCCTAAATGCAGAAGTCCAAGTGTTTCTGATAAAAGTAATCTCCAGAGTTCCCCAACAGAGAGAAAACACAGGGTTTTACTCACGTTACTTCCTGGTCCCCAACGGACCGGAGGGATGAGACCGATCTTGGATCTGTCAGTTTTTTCAACAAGGTGATTATGGACAGACCGTTTTTTTCACATGTTGACAACCAGACAGCTGTTGTACAACATCCAGAGAAACGCATACCGATCATCCCAACACAGAAAATTCCTGCGTTTTTCTCCTTTCAGGGGATGAAGTATCAGTACAACGGGCTGCCTGTCATCGTACGTTCTCAGTGTGTGGAGACAGCCCTGCATCTGTTACACAGAGCAGGGATGAGAGTTTTGTTTTACCTGGATGATCTGCTGCTCCTGTCACACTCCATACAGGAGGCGCTGATGCAGGTGTTGACATCACACCTGTTAAATCTGGGCTTCGCCATAAATTGGAAGAAAAGCTCGATTTTCCCGGCCCAGACAATTGTTTATCTGGGAGTGGAATTAAATTCAACCACCATGAAGGCTCGTTTATCACAAACGAGATTCGACACTTTTAAAAGTCAACTCCACCATGTAAGACCTGGCAGAGTGGTAACAGTTGTCTCCGTCATGAAGCTGTTGGGAATGATGTCATCAGCTCACACAGTGGTTCCGCTGGGTATGTTATACATGAGACGCCTCCACAGGTGTTTTGCGCGTCTGCGTGTGGATCCAGTAAAACAAAAGAGACGGTTGATCACTGTCCCTTCCTCCGTGAGAGCAGACCTCCGACACTGGGGAAACACCCTGGTTCTGTCAGAGGGAGTTCCCGTCAGCAGACCCACGTCACACGTGTCAGTCTTTACGGACGCGTCGCTGTCAGGCTGGGGGGGGGGGGGAACATGCCTATCTCAAGCAGTAGGGGCGCTGTGGCCCCACCACACATCAACCCACATAATTGTTTTGGAGTGTTTCACGGTGCTGAATGTGATTCAACACTTTGCTCCCGTGCTACAGAATCAACATGTGTTGATTCACACAGACAACATGGTGACTGCTGCGTACATAAACCATCAGGGGGGTGTGCGTTCAGCCCAGATGTTACACATTGCGCGAAAGCTACTGTGTTGGGCTCACCAAAACATGCTCTCCATCAGAGCAGTTTATATACCCGATGTTCTGAACAGAGGGGCAGATGTGATGTCCAGGGGCGGCCCACGTCACGCGGACTGGACCCTCCATCCAGACCTGCTGGTTCAGACGTGGCAGAAGTTTGGCAAAGTAGCTGTGGACCTGTTTGCGACACGAGAGAACGCTCAGTGTCAACTATGGTTTTCCCTGAGCCCACGAGACAATCCACCGCTGGGGGTGGATGCATTTGTTCACAGCCCATGGCCCAAAACGCTTCTGTACGCGTTTCCCCCACCTCCTCTGATTTTACGGTTCTTGAACCGAGTTCAGGAGGAGGGATTGACAGCTCTCCTGGTGGCTCTCGAGCGCGTGAACGCACCATGGTTTCCAGTCCTGCAACGTCTGTTGTCGGGGCTCCCGTGGAAACTGCCGTGGAGGGAGGACGCTCTCCTTCAAGCAGGAGGAGCGATCAGGAGTTACCCAGAAATAGGCCAGCACCTGTGGGTCTGGCCGCTGAGCGGTCCCACTTAGAGAGGATGGGTCTCCCACAGGAGGTAGTGCGCACAATCCAGGATTCACGTGCTGCATCTACCACAGCTCTGTACACATCAAAGTGGACGGCTTTTCAGCGCTGGTGTACAGAGAAAGGTGTAGAGGCCATCTCATGCCCATTAGGTGGCGTGTTGTCTTTTCTACAACAGCTGATAGACAGGAATTTGGCATTCAGCACGATTAAAACGTACACTGCAGCCATCTCTTCCTGCCACGAAGGGTTTGGAGACAGAACAGCTTTTAATTACCCGCTGATGAAGTGTTTTCTAAAAGGCGTACAGAGACGCAGGCCTGCTTCACGCCCACTTGCTCCACAGTGGGATTTAACGCTGGTCCTGCGAGCCCTGATCAAAGCTCCATTTGAGCCTCTGGATCAGGTTTCACTTAAATTCTTGTCTCATAAAACAGCCCTGCTGCTGGCTTCAACATCCGCTAAGAGGGTAAGTGATTTATCTGCCCTCTCTGTCGCTCCGTCATGTCTCAGAAATCAGGCTGACGGTAGTTCAGCTGATTTAAGACCAAACCCAGCTTTTATGCTTAAAAACATCACGAGCTCTTTTAAATCAAGAGTGATATCGTTGGAGGGGTTTTTCCCTCCCCCCCACAGATCAGAAGAAGAAGCATCTTTTCATCTTCTCTGTCCGGTGCGGGCGTTGACGTGTTAGAGTCAGAGTCAGAGTCAGAGTTTCTTTATTGTCATTCGCACCTCATGTAGTACATGTGGTGGAGCGAAATTATGTACACAGGGTCCCAGTTACATCCAACAATAAAATGTATAAGAAAAACAGTAATAACATCTAAGATATGAACTAAGAAAAACATCAACTAAATATACACTAAGCACTCATAACATAAAACATTGAACATCAGCACAAACATGAACATGAACATAGCGCGCACAGCTGTAATGCGTCAAACTCAACACCTGTTTGTGCATTATAGAGATGCATCTGCAGGTCGCCCGTTATCCACCCAGCGCTTGTCACACTGGCTGTGTGAGGCCATTTCTGAAGCCTACAAGCATCAGATTTAGAGCCTCCTGTCAACCTCAAAGCACACTCGACCAGGGGTATCGCATCTTCGACTGCTCTGCATAATGGTATGTCAATGCAGGACATTTGCACTGCGGCTGCGTGGTCAACACCCTGCTCATTCATTCGCTTTTATTTACGTGATGTGACGGCTCGTTCCATGACACATTCTGTCCTTAGTGCTCTAACAGAATGAATATTGTTGTTTTTCATGGAACTCTGTTTAAGCTCACATCTGTCTGCATGCATTACAGTGTGAGATGTTGTTATCAGTCACAAGTTGTGCCTGTGATTTTGGTTCTATTGTCATTAATCAGTTCATGACTATTGTTACCAATCAGTTCATTTGATCAATAATCAGTTCATTGTTATTGATCTGTTTATATTGTTCAGCCATGAACCAGTTGGTTCATGCCCCCCCCCCCCCCTCTTCTTTTCAACATCCTCTCCCCGTTGAAAATTTCCGAGGCGTTCATGTTTTGTCAGAACGCATAGTTACACAACATGCGTCTGTGCATGGCACATAATTACGCAACGCGTAGTTATGCACAGGGGGAGCTGAGTGAAAAGATGTTTTTTGGGCAAGCTTCCGCTTCATACTGTGTTCGAATGGACCCAGTGAGGCGAGGACCACATCCGCTTCGCCCTTAACCCATCAGCAACAGCCTTAAAGGGCAAAGCCTATACGACATAGAACGTTGGTTACGTACTGTAACCCCAGATTCTATGAGTATAGGCGTAGCCCTTTAAGCGTCGGGCCTCACTGGCTCCTAAATGGCTGAAGAAAAAAGCTATTTTGGGAGCCGATTTCCCGCTCTTAACGTAATTTATACGGACCGGGTGGGGCCCACACAGCAGGTGGGCGTGGACTAAATTTTTTCAGTGCTTATGCTGCGCATAACGGGATAAACCCATCAGCGACAGCCTTAAAGGGCTACGCCTATACTCGTAGAATCTGGGGTTACAGTACGTAACCAACGATCTCCAACATGTTCTATGAGTGCCACTGGAACCAGCTCAAAGTTAACTCAGATAAAACCTAAATTATTTAATGTTCACTAAGGTCTGCACTGATCTGCAGGCCAGCAGTTACTCTTTCAGAGATGAAGACATGAACTTCCTTGATAGAGGAACAGAATAGAAGAGTTTTAGAGAGGAGAAATGGAACCAGTCCATCATTAAACAGGGCGGAGGCCTCCGTGTCCAACTGTCCCCTTCTTACAATGTTGTTATTGTTAGCATCACTCAGCCCCATGTGAATAGCAAGCAGCCATCAGAGAACTAACAATCGTTAGGCTGATGGTTCAACATGATCATGTGAACAGCTAGTTTTGGATGTCAACAACAAACTGGTTGATCCACTATGAGAAGGTGCTATTTATAAGACTGAGTTTGTTGCAGCTCCTTAGACAGAATCCATCCATCCATCCATCCATCCATCCATCATCATCTTCCTCTTGTTCTGAAGTCAGGTCTCGGGACAGCAGCTTGAGCAGGGAGGTCCAAGGTGTTCCCAGGCCAACCAAGAGACATAGTCTCTCCAGCATGTCCTGGGTCTTCCCCGTGGTCTCCTCCCAGTTGGACATGCCCGAAGCACCTCCCTAGGGAGGTACCCAGGAGGCATCCTTACCAGATGTCTGAACCACCTCAACTGATTCCTCTCGATGTGGAGGAGCAGCGGTTCTACTCCGAGTCTCTCCTGATAACTGAACTTCTCACCCTATCTCTAAGGGAGAGTCCAGCTACCCTGCAGAGGAAACTCATTTCAATCGCCTGTATCCATGATGTCATTCTTTTGGTCACTACCCAAAGTTTGTGGCCATAGGTGATGGTAGGAATGTAGACTAACTGGTAAAAAGAGAGAACTCTGAGAGTGAAGAGCTCACTCTTCACCACAATGGACCGGCACAGAGTCTGCAATACTGCAACAATCAATCTGTCAATCTCACGCTCCATTCTTCCCTAACTCTTGAAGAAAACCCTGAGATACTTGAACTCCTCCACTTGAGGCAGAACCTCACCCTCGACCTGAATAGATCAATCCACCATTTTCCTGTTGAGGACCATGGCCTCAGACTTGTAGGTGCTGATTCTCATCCCAGCCGCTTCACACTCGGCTGCAAACCACTCCTGAAGATCACGGCACAATGACGCCAACAGGACCACATCATCTGCAAATAGAAGATATGGAATCCTGAGGCCAACAAACCGGACTCCCTCCGCCCCCTGGCTGCACCGAGAAATTCTGTCCATGAAAGTTATGAACAGAATTGTGACAACAGTCAACCTTAGCGGTATCCAACTTCCAACCTGAAGGGGTCCAGCTTACTCCCAGCAATGCGAACCAAACTCTCGCACCGCTTGTATAAAGACTATACAGACCAAAGCAACGCCCCCCCCAATCCCATACTGAAGAAGACTTTTGGAAAAAAGACAAAACGTTTCAACAAAGAAGAATCCATCCAGAGGACCTCACTCAACCTTGTTAAAACAACAACAGTTGTTTGTCCAACCTTGTCAATAATGTGATGCACAATCTCAGGTGTTTTACCGTAATTCTTGAGTATTTGTTATGAATTACTCTCAGCTAATATCATATCAAATTTTATCTCGTAAACTGTAAACTGGACTGTGCTATATAGTAAGTAAGTAAGTAAGTAAACTTTATTTATATAGCACTTATCATAGATACAATCACAAAGTGCTGTACAACAATAAAGAAATAAAAGCTTAAAATAAAATAAAATAATAACAACTCATTAATAAAAACAGTAAAAACAGCTGGAAAAAACAGTAAAACATTTAACTAAAAGCTTGTCGAATTAAAAATGTCTTAAGCTGCGTTTTAAAAGAATCAACAGAGACGTTCACACGGAGAGACAGGGGCAGGGCATTCCACAGCCGGGGGGCTACGGCCTGAAAGGACAGGTCACCCCGAGTTTTAAACCGGGTCTTAGGAACCTTAAGAAGGTTCAGCGCTGAAGACCGAAGGGTGCGGGCTGGAGAATAAGGAATCAACATTTCAGTGATGTACTGGGGGGCCTGACCATTTAAAGCTCTAAAAGTCAAAACTAAGATTTTAAAATTAATTCTAAATTCAACAGGCAGCCGATGAAGAGAAGATAAAACTGGTGTAATGTGAGCCCTTCTGTTTCTAGCCATTTTGTATGACGCTGCCTTCAAAAGTTAATCAGTTTTAGACATACAATCAACTGCTGATCAATCAACCGAGAGCTTCATTAAAGTCTGTTGAGTAATTAACGAGATATGTTGCTAACAAACACACACACACACAGGCAAGTACATTATCACCCGTCTTTCGCCTTGCAGCAGCAATAATAATTATAATTACCCAAATCATCAGTGTGAAGGCCTGAGTGCGAACAGGAGAAGAGGGGCTGTCCAACTCACTGTACACTCGTTGCATTGCTCTCTGAACTGAGCTGTTGAGAAAATCACCTGAAGATGAAAGAAGACACATCCTGACTTTTAATTTGAAAAGGTCTTTCTCTCAGTTTGAGGTCAAAGTCGACTTCTGCCAAAGGAGGAAATGCACAAACGCACCCTCAGGTTTCTTGTTGATCAGGCCTGCAAAACACTTAGCGGCAGAGGTGTAGGTCATCAGGTGGCTGCAGCTGCAGCTCAACTCCTCCAGTTGTGACAGCAGGCGCTCAGTCTTGGGTATCTCCACCTAAACAACATGTACAATGCAGGTACCTCTCAGTAAAATTAAAATATCATCAAAATGTTTATTTATTTCAGTAATTCAATTTAAAAATTCTAACTTGTATACAACCCCATTTTTGTTTAGAAATTTGTGTGCTTTTTGTGTATTTGTGCAACCTGATGTGATCTGGATAGCAAGAGTTCTCTATCTGGGCTATGTGACTCATAATCACAAGTCTTTGACCCATGAACTGACTTAGTTTGCAATCAGCATACCCACCCATTGCCAGTTCATCCAGGCTCACCTACTCCTGGGATGCCTTGATGGAGCTGAATGGCCCCCACAGTGAAAGTTTCCCTTAGCGCTAACAACACACTTGGGACTTACTTCATGGATAAAAACAAAGGCAGTAGAGAGGGAGAATAGGTTCCAGAGGAGGGATATGCAACAGGTTGAGGAGGAGAGGGAGCCGACTAGCTTTATTTGCAATCAGCCTGTCAAATGTCTGATTGGTAAGTAACAAGCCAGATGAACTTTGCATACTGATCAAGTTTGATTTGGCAGAAAGCTGAAAGTTATAATTAAGTTGTCCCCTCAGACTGGAAAGCAGTTACTATTTATAAAGTGGGATTTTAACAAGTGTGATATTTCCACACATCTTCACAGCCTAGAGCAATACAGCCCCTACAAGAAAACATACCATACTTAACTTGTGCTACAGTAATGTATCTATCTGGGGCAAACATTTAAAAATCCTGTCCTCTATGAAGTCTGTTCTATTGCTCCCAAAATACAGGTCATAATTAAAGACACTGGACAGTATCACAAAAACCATCACTATTTGGAATGAGGATGCAAAAGAAACATTAAGTCTGCTTATTTTTCAAAATTTCTATGACTGTGGAGATTACGTTAACATGCTTTCCAGTGTACTGGCTGAATATATTATATTATGTAAAGAAATTGTCACTGCCAACAAATTAGTAACTGTTTATCCAAAAAATAAAAACTGGATTCCTAAAGCCATGAAAGCCTAGCCCTGAAGAAAAAGGCTTTCTTACAAGGTGACAAAGTCAGGCTAGGGAACTGGTAACCTCCATAATGACAGAGTAAACCCTCATAAATTCTCTGACCATGACAAGCTCAGAGGTAGTGCATTCAAAGAATGCTCCACCCAGTTAGATGGGGTGTTCACCAGGCTGTTCCAGCACCTCATAGACAATGGTCCTTTCCCCAACCAGTGGAAGGAATTAGCTATCTTTCCAAAATATCATAGCCAAGAAACTTGGGAGGACTACAGGTCAGTGACCTTAAAATTGGTCTTGTGCATGTGCATGAAAAGAGCAGTGTGCAAGTTGGTGTTGGATTGGTTTGACAAAATAGATTAAATCAATTTTTCCTAAAAAGCAAAACCAAGCACAAAAGATGCAAGCCCATACTTTTGGACACAGTCACCAAGCAAATGGACTTCACACATGCCTACAAAAGGATCCTCTCATGGACTATTCATTGGCTTTTAACACTGTAAACACCAACACTCTGTTGCACCGCCTCTCAGACCTTCATGTTTACCCTATGGATAAGCAGTCCAGTCCCCAGCTCTCTCTCACTCTCTGGGACATGCCTGGAAAATTTCAAAAGGGAAGTGCTCAGGAAGCATCCTAATCAGAAACCCAGACCACCTCAAGAGACTCCTTTCGATGCAGAGAAGCAGCTTTTTTGGTTATACAAGGACCAGATAGCCCTTAACAGCAACCTGGCACCCCATACTCCCACAGCACCCCACAAAAAATGCCTCGAGGAACACAGTCATAAGTCAAGTCAAGTCAAGTCATATTCTAGGTCCACAAAACAAGTAGACTGGAGAGGAAAACTCCCATGGACCCCTTAGAGGCCCCATAAGGGTAAAGATTTGGCATACTGTCCCACGGCCAGGCAGGAAGCCACACTGCTCAGAGGTTTACCGCAGAACCTCCCTTCCAAAACCCGTGGAGTAAAGTTTACTGGGGAGGGAGAGAAGTGTGATCCAACAATAGTTGGAACACACTCTCCGATATCCCTTTTTAAAAATGGGAACCACCAACCAAGTCTGGCACTCCACAGGTGGTGTTTCGGTCCTCCATGCAACATTGAAGAGATATGAACCATGACATCCCCACAACATCCAGAGCCTTCAGAATCTTGGGATGAATCTCATCCACCCACTGGCACCCTTCCACTGAGGAGCTTTTTGACTACTTCAGTGACTTCTGCCACTGTATTAGTCATTGGACTGGTCTTGCCCTGAGTACTCAGACTCTGCCTCCTCAAAAGTGGATGTGGTGGGTGAATTAAGAAGATCCTTGAAGTGCTCTTTCCACCACTTAACAATATCCTTAGTTCGAGTCAGCAGTTCCCCTCCCAAATCAAGCACAGACAGGATCCGCTTTCCATTTCTGAGTCGCTGAACATTTGCCAGAACCTCTGCAAGGCCAACCAAAAGGCCTTCTCCATGGCTTCACCTAATTCCTTTCATGCCTGAGTTTTAAGAACTGCAACCACCAAAGCCACAGCCCTTCTAGCCACCCTGTACCAGTCAGCTGCTACAGGAGTTCTCCAGGACTGCCATGTCTGAAGGCCTCCTTCTTCAGCTTGACAGCCTTCACCACCGTTGGTGTCCACCAGCGAACTTTTGGTTGCCACCATGACAGGCAAAGGGGGTAAAATCCAGGACTGTCCAGCACAAATTGGGACAATTAGCAGGTATGTAAATGTTTAAAGACCACAGAATTGTTCTGGGGGTCTAAAAGGAAGAAACCTGGAGCATTTATTTTAACTACTCAGTATCCAGGGACAGCAGGTAGTGCAGGTACAGAGTATCTTGGAACAGAGATTGACTCCTGTCTGAATTTTTCTTTCTTTCAACCTTTATTTAGATAGGTAAATCCCATTGAGCCTCGAGGACTCATTTACAAGAGAGACCTGATGATTTTCCTACCACACATACTCTCTTTATTTGTTGTTGTATGAAAATGTGTTTTGTTGATTTTGTATACAAGTATGTGCGTGATTTTTTCTTATTTGCAATTAACTGACCAGGGTCAGTCCATGATCTGATCATTTAAACAAGTATATCCGAGACCAGGGTCATGGATGTGCGTGTGCGGTAACTTTTGTAGCTCTGACTCCAGCCACGGCCCAAGCCTTGTCAATCTATTTGTTCTATGTAATACTCTCTTTTTCTGACAAACTGAATTTTGGGGTTTCATCAGCTCTAAGCAAGAATCATCAAAATTAACAGATATAAATACATGAAATACATCACTCTGTGTAGAATGAATATATGTATTACTTGGGACTTTTTGAACTGAATTATGGAAAAAAAAATTATAATGATATCCTGATTAAATGAAAGGTATGTATACAGCATAAACTTTAAAAGTTTTTGTGTTTTCAATTTTAGCATGTGAATCAGTAGTGAGTGTTTGGGTTGAGACTTACATTACGAGGTAATGAACACACGCAGGCCATGAGCAGACAGACCAACTGAGACAGGCTCCATGATGCTTCCTGCTGCTAAGAACAGGGATTAAAACACCTTAAATATGAACATATTTCAAACTATGTAGTACAAAAAAACAGCTTAAAGTTTTAATTATTAACAGAGATAATGATCAAGATATGCTCACTACAGTATGATAGTATGATGATTATAACTGTTTATAACCACAAAATGTTTTTTTTTTAACTTAACCTTTATTTTAGGCAAGAACAAACAACAACAACAACATTTTTCATCTAGAAAAAATGTAGATGTTCACACTTGGAAACATACCTTGAGCAGCTGAATGTGAGAAGGAAAGGAGTTATCAGGCAAAAAGGAGACGTCACCATCTAGGAAGAGAGATACCACCCTCGACACAGTCTGTCCCGCCAGCCTGGTGAAAGGAAACCACACACGCCTCGTCAAACATCACATTTTTAAGCACATTGCACAAACAAATGAAAGAAAATGACTAAACTAAACTGAGTGAAAACAATATGATCTGGGTCCGGGTCTGATCAGGGTTCCAATGATTTTTTTGATTCTATAGTACTTTAGACATTATTGGATTTTAATTTTAAAAAAATTTGGGGGGAACTTTTGAGCCTTTTTTGATGCTAAAATAAATTATTTTGCAGCTTTGGGGCTAGGCGTTCATCTTACAAAACATAACCTTATGTAACATATGGTCAATGATCTGCAGTTATACAGTTACATATGCTATGATGCAAAATGCAGCTATTAGAAGTACAGTAGTCCCTTGTTTATCCATCCATCCATCCATTTTCTTTACCCGCTTATTCCATTTTGGGTCACGGGGGTCGCTGGTGCCCATGTCCAGCAATCACATTGCGAGGGGCGGGGTACACCCTGGACGGGTCGCACGTCCATCACAGGGCCACATAGAGACAAACGAGACAAACAACCATTCACTCTCTCACTCACACCTAGGGACAATTCAGAGTTACCAATCAGCCTAACATGCATGTTTTTTTTGGACTGTGGGAGGAAACCGGAGTACCTGGAGAAAACCCACGCATGCACGGAGAGAACATGTAAACTCTACCCAGAAAGACCCCTGGACCGGGGTTTGAACCAGGGACCTGCTCGCTGAGAGGCAGCAGCTCTACCAGTTGCGCCACCGTGCTGTAGTAGTCCCTTGTTTATTGCGGGGGTTATTTTCCAAACACGCCCGCAATAAGTGCAAAACCGCGAAGTAGGGACGTCATATTTATTTTAGTATTTATGTATAAATTAAGGCTTTATAAACCCTTCTCTCACACTCTTGCAATATTCTAAATAATATTCTAAACTCTAAACGCTCTAAAAGAGCACAGCATATCATGACTTCAGCTCTATCTGCCACTTGCTGCTCTCTGCCACACCCACTTCTCCCTTCTTCTGTGTAAAAACAATTTAAATTTAAATACAGTAATCGTTTAAATAAATAATCCATGCTGCATGAGCAGCATTGTTTATTTTAAATAATCAAGTGCGGCTGGAACCGAGTCCCCCTCGGAGAATGGCCAGGCCACCGGGAAATATCCTAGTGCTCTCAATGGCCAGTCAGCCCCAACCTGCTGCAGCAGGTGTTAAATTACTTTAAATCCATCCATCCATCCATCCATCCATCCATCCATCCATCCATCCATCCATCCATCCATCCATCCATCAATCAATCAATCAATCAATCAATCAATCAATCAATCAATCAATC